ATAATAGACTCACTGTGTCAGTTGAAGAGATTTTCTTGAGTGAAGCTACTTCTTCTTGAGATTGTTCAACAGAATTATCTTTTTCATGATCATCATCATCTTCATTCAAACTGCTTAGCTTTTGTTCAAATGTCACCAATGCTATCATAAGATTATAAATAAATTTATTATGATTATGTTTACTTTGTGGTTCTAATCCAGTACTAATACTTTGTTTCCTGATTTTAAAGCCATCATCAGAAGTACTGGTATCATCAACTAATAGTTCAAATATACCACTGTCCTCTTTCAGAACATCCCTTGCATTACCATATACTAACACACGACCCTAACAGAATATTCTATAAATAAAACCCTACATTCATTACTCCTGCACCTCATTCAGTCCAAGTATAGCATCACATCGTTCAAGATATTGTACTTGATGAGTTACTAGTATAACAATCTTGTCTGATAATATTCCACAAATACACCTTTAAAAATACATCGGTCAATTACAAAAAAGTTACTAAAAGTTGCTTCAAAACAGTAATAATGCATACACTATTACTATTAAATTGAGAATTTTTTATTAGCCATTTTTGATAAAATTTGGCCAAAAACCATCCCATGGTTTTTGGCCTGTTTTTTTAGTAACTTTAAAAATTTGTAAAAAATCTAAACTTGATCAGAATTGGCTCAAATTTGAAAAATAACATAAAAACATGTAAGTGTATCAGAAAAAATTATAAAAATGAAGACTTGGTTCCTAGTCATTTTTGGCCAAAGACCAAAGGCTATAGCCTATGGTCTTTGGCCTAATTTTTGAGCAACTTATAAAAATTTGTAAAAAATTTAGACTCAATTGGAATTGGCTCAAATTTGAAGAATAACATAAAAACATGTATATGCATCAGAAAAAATTATAAAAAAGCAGAATTGGCTCCTAGTCATTTTTGATGAAATTTGGCCAAAGACCATGTACTATAGCCCACGGTCTTTGATCCGACTTCTGAGTAACTTTAAAAATTTCGTATAAAATCTAAACTTGATCGGAATCAGCTCAAATTTGAAACATAACATAAGAACATGTATACGTACCAGGTAAAATTATAAAAATTGAGAAATTTTCTCCTAGCCATTTTGACCAAATTTGGCTAAAAAACCATGTGCTATAGCCCATGGTCTTTGGCCCAATTTTTGGCTTTAGAAATTTGTAAAGAATTTCAACTTGATCAAAATCAGCTCAAATTAAACACATGCCAGTGAATTTCCTTTATTTGATTATTGTCACAAAGTAATTTATATCCACCTCTCAAAAAGATGTCTACTGACTGCTGCATCTACTGCACTCAGAGGATCGTCAAGAAGATAAACATCAGCTTGACGATAGACTGCCCTCGCTAGATTTACTCTAGCTTTCTGTCCTCCACTGAGAGTCACTCCTCTCTCTCCTACTAGAGTCAAATCGCCTTCAGGCAGTAGCTCAATATCCTATGCCAACAACAAAATAAGTACAAGTACACATACAATTACTTTCTCAAGAGCACACGCTTCTATCACAGACTCATATTTGTCAGAATCATACGGTAAACCAAACAGTATATTGTCCCTCAGTGTAGCTGAGAACACCCATGCTTCTTGACTAGCATACCCAATTGATCCTTTAACCATTGCCGTACCACTCAAAGCAGGTAGCTCTTTCAATAGACACTGAAGAAGAGTAGACTGTGTGTGCTGATTAAAACAAATCATAATGCATTAAGTACTAACCTTGCCACAACCAACTTTACCCTACACAGCTAGCAATGGTTTCTCCTAAAATATTATTAAAAATATTGTTAAATCATCATCACTTAATTACTTTATTGACAGT